CCAATGCTCCGAGAAGTGCTTGTGGGTGTGATATTCCTGGAAACATTCCCCTCTGTGAAGTGGCATTACACAGAACTTGCAAATGTAGACATACTCCTTTTTTTTTTTTGTGAACTGTGCAAACACAGCATTGCCTAGAAGGATGCTTCCCCTTGAAATGTTCACCCTTCACAATTTTCATGGGTGTATGATTCCGCATATCACCCAAGAGTCGCCCTGGGGGGTCCACATGAGACCTGCGTGGGGTGGGAGTTGATGGGCCCAGTTGCACTAAGTCTGTGTCTGACTCTGGTTCTGCTGCCACCATCTGGTCTTCAGCCCAGGCCTTTGCCACATTCATCAGAAATGCTTTGTATTTCAATTTCAAATCAGGGTTTAGATTTTTGTGATTTTTTTAGATTTTTACTGTCCCCGCAATGTTATTACCCCCATTATCGTCAGAGCTACAGTCAATTTTACTGTCTGTGGCCACAATTCTTTATTCTCCCTTGTCACTGCCACTCTCTGAATCACCATTACTATGCGTCTCACAAGCCATGTCAGCTAGCTCATCGGACAAGAATTTGTCCTTGTCCATACCCCACCACTAACTACTGGCTGATACATACAGCTCGAAGAGCAGCAAAGCATTTTCGTTTATAGTGGGTTAAGAACACAGCGAGGTCAAATTACTGACAAGTAAGCAAACATTCCAGAGTTTTATTATGCCATTGCGTGCAACTTGGGCAGCACCAGAGCAAGGTACAGTGCGTTACAACCTAATGTGTACTAAAATCATGATATCATGCGACCGGTCTGCCACGTTTAAAAGCCAAAAGCATGATATCATGTGACCGGTCCTAAACGTGTTAAACACTTTAATATTGGTTTATAATCAGTTGTGTTGATGGCTCTCAATTATACCTTTAATCATGATACACAACAGGATGCAGAACATAAAGACAACAATATATGTTTGTCGATGTGTGTTTCTATCACATGTTGCACCACTATGGTGACAACACTTGAAGTTACTACTGAAATACACTACTTCCAATACATTTTTCCAGTTCATGCCCAGTTTTTACAAAGTTAGTAACTGAAGAGTGGTACTGATTATCAGTCTTCATGACATAATATCCAGGTATCAGTGAGTGTGTAACATTTTCATTTCCTTGAACCCTTCTAACGGATCATTAGGTAAAAACGGGAAGTTCAAAAAAGACAGAAAACACAAAGAAGTGCCAATTACATAATAACAATGAAAAAGACGGAAGTAGAAGTTCTTCAGGCATTAAAACCGAATTACAAAATAAATGCAAATATGATGATAATTATCTCAAATTGAGATCAGCATGTGAAGGTGATTCTTGTGTGACTGATGCCCAGTGTGTATTATGTTACCAGACTTTAGGAAACTTTCAACGGTTCCCACAAAAATGATAATGACATTCACTTACAAAGCATGAAATTTCAAAGACACACCTATTACCTATATTAAAAGGGAGAATTGGTAAACAGGTTGTGTTGCCAGAATTTTAGGTGTTGTTCACCAATGTGTGATTTTGGTTTTCATGGGATTCTTCCTATGATCTCATGTTGATGCAGTTATAAGTTGGCCTACTGGTGTGTGATGTGTTGCTTTCATGTTCTTTTCTTCCCATGGCATGCCCTTATGTGGAGTGTGTGTAAAAAGCACTCCCAATGTGTAAAAACTGGACAGTGTGTAAGGAGGTATAGGACATAGAAAGAGAGTTGATTGTAAAAGTTCTATGTACCTGATGATGGCTCCAATAGGTTGAAACATGCAGTACATGCAAACGCATGTTTACACCAGAATTGTGCCAACTGAATAATAATAAACATTATTATTACATGACACTACAGTATATTTCTAATGGATTTGTTATATTTAAAGTACTGATAAACCATAAAATTTCACACAAAGAACAGAAGAGCCCAAAAGTAATTAATGTGAACATCTAAGCAGCAAAAGCAAGGTTTGAAGTTGTAAGATGACCCCTATCCTGGAAGCCAGTGGAAGAGACTATTTCAGTAGTGTGCCAGGGAACTGAAGACCTGGTCACACACAACAGGCATATCTAGATATCTGGAACCATCTATTTTAATTATCCTTCATGATCACAATGATGTCTTGGTAAAAGCGTTGAATTAAAAGAACATAAAATTTACAATATATATTCAATTCCCATCAACCTTTACCATTTGTAAAGTAAAGCTATCCCTGTAACAGGCCATGAAGGTCCATAGGGTTGTGAGACGTTGAGGGTCCCACATTATCTAGACAATTGGCTCAAAGATGGCAGTCAGGTTGTTAGTCTTACACGCCGGCCGCGCTTTACTCCCCAGGAAAATTATTAAATTGATTCCTGGTACTCATTTCTGTTAGAGGCTGAGTAAACCCCAGGGCCTAGTGTGGCTGGAAGGATTAGATCAATTGGAAAAAATCCAATGACCTCATCGGGACTTGAACCCGCGATCTTCCGGCTTGTAGCATAGCTTACCATTTGTCCACTTACATGTAATGTTTCATTTCTTTATAAAGATGTTCAAGTAAATTAAAAATTAAATAAGTATTTTTGATCAGTTTAATGCATATCTACATTATAAGTAAATATTCTCAACATCAATACCACTGATACAGCCCTTCACATCATGTATTATAACATATTTTATTACCCACATTCACCACCATACAGCAATGATGTGTGAAACATCAACAAACGCAATGAAAAAGTTCAATATTAGCTTCAAGTATCACAGCAACCAGTGAAGAAATTTACAACTGTAACATAACATATGTGGTGCAATCCAAAAGTTCCCGAAATATATTAATAAAAACTATTACATCTTACCTGGATCTTATTCTGCACCATCACCTTCAAAGTAGTCCCATTGGGAGCGCATACACCGATCCCAGTGTTTCTGCCACTTTTCAAATGCATCCTGGAAGTCTTTCTTTGTTAGCGTGTTTAGTACTGTCTCCGTTTCTGCTTGAATTTCCTCAACTGTATCAAATCTTCGCCCCTTCAACTTGATTTTCATCCTGGCGAAGAGAAAGAAGTCGCATAGAGCTAAGTCTGGCGAGTACAGTGGGTGGGGAAAAACTGCCATCTTGTTTTTAGCCAAAAATTCCTGCACAATGTAAGCCTTATGCAGTCTTGTGTTGTCATGGTGGAGTACCCAGTCGTTCATGCACCACTTCTCTTCACGTTTTCTCCTTATGTCCTCCTTATGAACAATCCCGTCAATATCAAAAAACAGATCAACGTGAACTTAATGTTGCTCTTCACATGTCGAGCTTTTTTTGGCTGAGGTGAAGAAGGGCTCTTCCATTGTGAAGATTAATGCTTACTTTCAGGGTCATAGCCATAAACCCAACTTTCGTCACCAGTGACAACTTTTAAAAGAAAGTTTGGATTCTCTTGAAGCTGTTGTTGAAGTTCCCTGCAGACTTCCAAGCGATGCTGCTTCTGTTCATTTTGCAGCAGTCGTGGCACAAACTTTGCCACAACCCTCCTCATGTACAGTTCCTCTGACAAAATTCGTTGACATGTAGCATAACTTGGTCCCAAGGTGTTATAGAGGTCTTGGAGGGTCAGTCTACGATCTTGCAGAATCAGATCCCTAACTTTCGCAACATTTTCTGGTGTGGTGCCAGTTGACGGCTGTCCCGAATGATCGCCATCATCAGTCAATGTTCGGCCATTTTTGAAATGCTTATACCAGTCATAAGTTTGTGTCTGGCCTAAACTGTTGTCACCAAAAGCTTGCTTCAACATTTGGTGCATTTCTGCAGCGGTTTTCCCAAGTTTAAAACAAAACTTTTTACAGACACGCTGCTCTCTCAGGTCAGCCATCGCAAAACCGCAAACTCATGGAAACACAACAATAAACCCAACCACTTAACTAAACGCCATTTGCCACACTGATTCAAGAAGGGTGTGTGGGAAGACACCTAGCGGTATTTCAATGTACTCATAACCAT